TTGCTATTCTTTAGGCTGTTTTTTAATTTATTAAAATTAAATGATAATATCTAAATCTAATTAAAACTTAAAAGTTCCGAATGATATAACTTATAATTTCAGTTCCTCAATTAAAAGGAAGAAAGCAAATTATATTATTAAGTCTGCAATAAATTGAAATTTAAAATAAATGTGCATGATTAGCTTCTTTATTCACATCTTTTTTACAAATAACATAATCGATATCAAATTTGCTTTATGTTTGTATATAACCAAAGATATTTATGAAATTACAACAGACAAATAAAAGTTTAGAAGTTTAAAAGTTTCAATCTTTGTTTAACTTTATACCTAAATTTAATACAATTTTAAGAATGGATATTAAAGAGAAGTCTCAGAAAATTCAAATGCAAAACTAGTATGAACGGTTAATCCACATTTTAATTAGAGAACCTTGTAAGTTAAATGTAATTGAAGATATAATCCAACATAAAGAATTTCAACCTGCTAATATACATGAAAATATTCACATTGTTAAAAATCAAGGATTCCCGATAAGAAGAAGATGGAATGAAAAACTGAATCTTACGTTAAACTGAAAAGAATCTAGCCTTTACATAGGCTTTACAAGATAATATTATTTAAAAAGATAACTAACCAATCTTATCTAATCTAATTTAAATGATAACAACCTAAAACAAATAAATAACTTAAACTTCCTAAATTATAGAGATAATAGCTAAATAATAGGATCTAAATTCCAACAATCCCTCCCTTAAACTGAAAGTATTCAGACTTTAGTTTAAAGAAATCTGAATAACACCATATCTGTAGATCTGTAATCTGGAATCTGCAGACCCTCCCTCAAACTGAATTCTGCATGCTGCAAACACTAAGTAACTCTCTCAGTTTTGAAAAAGCTGCTACTTTGAGGGGTTTTGTGAATATATCAACCACTTGATCTTCTGTTTTGCAATAAATCAACTCAATTGTTCCATCTTCTACCAAGTTGCGCAAGAAATGATACCTCACATGTATATGCTTGCTTCTCCCATGTAGAACTGGATTTCTAGAAAGTTTGATGGCTGAATTGTTATCACAATAAATTGAAGTGGCCTCATGTTGATTCAGCTCAAGTTCTTCCATAATTCTTCTCAACCAAATAGCTAGACAAGCACAAGAAGTTGCTACCACATACTCCGCTTCTGTTGTGAACAAAGTCACAATGGGCTACTTCTTTGAAGACCATGAAATTGCACCAGATCCCAACATAAAAACAAACCCAGAAGTGCTTTTTCTGTCATCCAGATATCCAGCATAATCACTGTTTGTAAAGCCTGCGAGATCTGTCTGGTCACCCTTCTTGTAGAATAGCCCAAAAATCTGCAGTTCCACATAAATACCTGAGAATTCTTTTAGCAGTCTGCAAGTGCAACTCCTTTGGATGCTCCATATATCTGCTAATCAAACTGACACCATGCATTATATCTGGTCTTCTTGCTGTCAGATACATCAGACTTCCAACAATCTGCTTATATAGTTTGCTATCCACAAATCTGCCTCCTGGATCTTTCACGAGCTTTACACCTTTATCAACTGATGTAGTGACAGAATTGCAGTTCTTCATTTGAAATCTGTCTAGAACTTCCTGCACATATTTTTTGTGATAAACAAAAATTCCAGAATCTGACTGTACTACTTACAGACAAAAAAATAAATGCAACAAACCTAGATCTGTCATTTCAAATTCAAGCTTCATGGACTGCTTAAACTTTTCCAACATGCCAAAATCATTCCCACTATAAAGGAAATCATCAACATATAAGCATACTATAATCAATTTACCTCCATCTCCAAATTTGGTATAAAGTTTATGCTCATAAGGCACTTTTGAAAACCTTCCTTCAAAAAATAAGCATCAATTCGACTATACCAAGCTCTAGATGCTTGTTTTAGTCCATATAATGCTTTCTTCAATTTGTAAACCTTATGCTCAGAACCAAATTTCACATAACCAGGAGGTTGATCAATAAATACCTGTTCTTGTAGATTTCCATGCAAGAAGGTAGATTTCACACCAAGCTGGTAGATCGGCCATGAGTTCTGTGCTGCCAATGCAATCACCAATCTGATGGTATCCATCCTTGCAACTGGAGCAAAAACTTCTTGATAATCAATGCCAAACTCTTGCTTGTAACCCTTTGCCACCAAGCGAGCTTTGGATTTGTCAACCGCCCCATTCTCTTTGAGCTTTGTCTTGTAGATCCACTTAACACCAGTTGTTTTGTGCCCTTCTAGAAGATCTGTCAACTCCCAAGTCTGGTTCCTTTCAATAGAACCAATTTCTTCTGCCATGGCCTTTTGCCACTTTTCTTCTTTAACGGCTTCTTCATATGTCAATGGATCACAATCTACAAATAAAGAAAAATGATTAACTGGAACGTCATCTTGAGGTAGATCTGTTACCTCATAGTCTTCCAACCATGTTGGCCTTCTCTTTTTGCGTTGAGGTCTGGAACTAGTTCCAGATTGCAGTTTTGGTGTTGTTGGCAAACTTCCTCCAGTACTAAACTCTACTCCTGTAGGCAGACTTTCTTCAGCTGTCTGTCTTGAAACCTTGAGACAGACTTTCTTCAGCTGTCTGTCTTGAAACCTCGAGATCTGCTGAAGTTAAATCTCCAGTTTGCTGTGTTTGACCTTTTAAGTTCTGCACAGTTAGATCTTCTCCATTTTCGAAATCTGTAGGAATCTGTTGCTTAGGTTTTTCTGTCCAAGACCAGGTGCTTGCTTCATCAAACACCACATCACGGCTAATAAATACCTTCTTGGTTAAAGGATTGTATAATCTGTAAGCTTTGGACTGATCATTAACACCAAGGAAAATACACTTTTCCCCTTTGTCATCAAGCTTACTCCTTTTCTGATCTGGCACATGTGCATATGCTATGCACCCAAAAATTCTGAAGTAATCAACAGCAGGTCTACGTCCACTCAAAGCCTCTTCTGGCGTCAAATTTGAAAGTGGAGATTTGGGACTTCTGTTCAAGATATGAACACTCCAATTAACAGCTTCTGGCCAAAACTCCTTAGGCAAGCAACTCTTTGACATTAGACTTCGCACCATATTTATGATTGTGCGATTCCTCCTCTCACACACACCATTCTATTGAGGTGTATAGGCTGCTGTGAGTTGCCTTTTAATGCCATTGGACTCATAAAATCTACAAATTCCTTTAAATTAAACTCACCACCACGATCTATACGCAGAACCTTTACAGATCTGCCAACCTCATTCTCAGCCAAGACTTTGAAATTTTTAAAGGCTGCTAAGGCTTCTGACTTGGTCTACAAAAAATACACCCATGTTTTGCAACTGTAGTCATCAACAAAGGTAATAAAGTATTGTTAACCTCCATTGGATGTTGGATTTATGAGTCCACACAAATCAGAATGAACCAGATCTAGCACCTGCTTTGCTCTCCAAGATCTGACTTTAGGAAAGCTGTCACAGTACTGTTTACTGACGATGCAGATTTCACAAATTTTTGAAGGAGAATCAAAATGAGGAAGACCATTTACCATCTTCTTTTGCTGCAAAGCTTTCAACCCACCAAAATAAAGATGTCCAAATTGGCAATGCCATAACCAAGCTGTGTCCTTTAATTTGGCAGATAAACATGACAGATTTGTGGTCTGCAAGTATAATGGAAACAACCTATTTCCCGTCATCTTAACCTTTACAATTAGGCCAAGTTTTGAATCACGAATTTGGCAAACTCCATCTTTAATAAGGATTTCATATCCTTTTTCCTGATGCTGTCGCAGACTAAGCAGATTCGACTTCAAATCTGGTACATACAAAACATTAGAAGTAGTCTGAATTGAATTGTCTTTGGCACGAATCGTTACCTTCCCTTTTCCCTTGACTGCAATAGTGAATTATCACCAAATTTCACCTTATCTTGACAAGACTCATCCAAATCTGAAAACGTAGATTTGTCTCCACACATGTGGTTGCTGCAACCAGTATCTAGATACCACACATTCTTCTTGTTGACTTCTTTAGGATGATAGACCATGAATAGAGAGGAATCGTCATTCTTCTCATTGTGTTCTGCAAAATTGGAACTTTCTCCTCTATTCAGATTACCATGGCACTCAGAACGATAATGGCCATACTTATGACATCTGAAGCATTCAATATTTGTCTTTCCTGCAGATTTGGATCTGTTATCTGCAGCTTGATAATTTCTGTTCTACCACCTCTTCTGAATTCCAATGGCTAAACTTTTCTCCAATCTGTCATATCTCGGTCTGTCTTTTCAAATTTCTTTTCCTAGACCTACAGCCCTTGAATTAACTGTGGTCTGCAAGGCTTGTGGCTGCGAAATCTGCACTGCTTGCTCTTGCTTGTCTTGGCGATTTATCTTCTGCTCATGAATTAACAATGAGTTCCGCAAC